GTCGTCCTCACATATTCCTGCAAGATAAAACATTCAACTTATTACCTCTCAAATAAAATTGAATCCTTCATTCACAATCCCCACTAATCTGCCAAATTATTGCCATACTGCAATAATCTTTTCATGATATATTCCATTGAAACCACTAAACTAATACATTATGTCAGTAAATTGAACATTATAAGTACCTGGTTTATTGATTCACAAATATTACAAATATTACAATTCTTCCAAAAAACAGTTCACTACTAGATTTCTTTTAATGCAATATGAAATACTAATGCCCTCTTTATTTCTTGAGAAATATTTCAATCATTGCACTAACCATACTGCCACTTAAACTACTATACACTACTACATTGATGTATTGCAAAACACTTAATCCGCCTAAATATTGCCACTTACTGACAAATTACAATCACATTTTCAAAAAAAATCCCAAAAACCACTTAACTAATACATGCACAAATACTTCCATAACCAAACAAACCCAGTTCACTACTACCCTAGTCTACAACAAAGGACCATCATAATGCCTTGTTTTATTGCTTCACACAGATTTCAAAAAACTTATTGCCACAATTTATATTTACAATTAATGTACTACTTCACTAATTCCCTCCACCGTTTTCTTTCCTAACTTTATTGCCCTAACAAGGACTTAATGAACTAAACCATTGCTTAATGCATATATTGCCAATACATATGTTGCTTAATGACCTAAACTATATGTCCAATACATATATTGCCCTGTATCATTGCCAATTTCACAACCTCATTCATTCCCCATCTTCCACCTCCGTATTTCTGCTCTATACATATTGGTTCCCAAATTAATGCCCTAACTCATTCACTATTTCACAACCCTATTCCATCACCATTCTTTTCCCAAAATTACTTGCGTATCTCACTGGGTTTTTCACTAACCCGGCTCCATCACCAAAAACGAAAACGCAATAGAACATGCAATGCCTATTGCTCAAAACCACGTAATTCCATACTTTAATGCTCTGCGACTGAGAAAACTTACAATTCCGTCGATATTAATGACAACCGACTCACTCGCCGCCGCTGTTGTTGAGTCTTGTTGTCGTTTCTCCGGCTTCTTCAATGCTCTTGTTCCCAGCTTGGCAGTCGCCTTCGTCATGTTTGTCTCCTCACACGCCGCTTCTCTTCGCGGCTTCAATTTCTGTTCTTTCGTCAATTGCTATTCTTCCGTCCGTACCCAACCTGATTTAGCGGTTAATACGGATTACCCGTTTTGGAAGCCCAATTTACGGCGCACGTTTCTCTGTCGGTTACCGTTTCATTTTTTGGGCTTTTGACGCGTATGGAAGGGCAGTTTGGGTATTTACTGACATTACTCGCATAGCCGATGTATGTCATTATCATACGGTAGATCAAAAAACCCATTTGGTCATATATAGGGAAAACTGACATGTTTTAGTATTATTGCCGTATTTTTCCCTTCTTTTATATTTTTATAGCATGTTTAGTCTCCAAGTGAGGAGCTAAACTCTTCCATCTTGGTTTTGCTACTTTGAAGCTTAATGAATTTGTAAGTTGTGAGTTATTCTCTTTAATCTTCTTCCTTGAATATTAATTCTTCCTTTAAATACTATTTTTATATCAATGTTGGGGAGTGTTACTAAGATGACAATTAGTTAACATCTTGACATTAGTTATAGTAATAGCTATTTCTTCCTCTATGTTAATATTGGGGAGTATTACTAAGATGACAATTAGTTAACATCTTGGTATTAACTATAGTAGGATTCATCTTCTTTAATATTCTTTCTTGAGTATTAATCAATTCCTATTCATATTTCATATTAATATTTTGAACATTACTTAAAGGATCAACTAGTTTTGTTTCATATATTAATTAATACTAGAATCGGTCGATTAATACGCTTGTTATTAATTCGATCCTTTCACGGTAGTAAACTTGGATTATTAATGCATGCATCTCATTGTCAATAATCTAAGGGGAATTAATTACATTGATTAACCAACAAACCGCTTGTGTTGAGGTTATCAATCTCAATCGTGTTCATCTTAAGTTTATTGCTACTATCAAGTTAATATACGACGCTTGTTCTATATTGACTCGATAGTAAGTTTTATTAATGAACGCATCTCGTTATTAATAACTACCCTCGATGAACTGGATATACTCCTCGATTGAGTATTCGAGATGAAGATAGTTAAAGATATAACCGAGATCGACGAACATTTCATTAAGTGGATAAAAGCAAAGCCAAGTCTCCTTCTCATTAATTACACCACATAACTCGTTCATCTTCGTGCTTAAATATAATTTAAGTTCATCAACCAAATATAAAAAACCCCTGTTATTACTTATTTATCTCTATAAAAAGAGAAGTGTTCCTTTCCCTGTGGATACAAACCTTACTACACTATACTACGTATTAGTGTCGTATTGTATTATTATTTTGAGTGCACCTCGCGATAAGTGCACGACAATAACACCAGTACAAAATCAGCATACATTACTTATTAAATGAGCAATGATATGAAAATCATAAGTTGAACATCAAACCTCCTTTATTGAGTATCAGAAACATGCAATTGAGTATCATGATCTCTACTTCCATGTATATAATTAACTCTTATGCGAATCTAATATGATACTTTTGAAATATGAATTAATATGACATTTTAAAATGAAAATAAAATCAGTATCAGATGAACATACCTAACTTACAAAATGATCATCGAAAAATTCAAAAGCTCATTTCAATTTCCTAATGTGTTCAAATGTTCATTTGTGCACACATAATGAAAAATATAATAATTTATAAAAAAATAATTTATAGTTGTTCATTCTCAAATTACAAATATAATCGAGTTCTTTTTATAATTTTTTACCCATGCATACTTATTTTACACCATACTCATTTTAGTATAACACAAAACACGTTTGTAATTAACACACAATATTTAATAAACTGATAAATATTCATCTTAAATTAAAAATAGATAAATAAAAAATTAATAAATAAAATATTTTATAATAGATAAATAAAAAACTTAAGACTGGAAGTTTGATTGGAGAAAGAAAAAAATAAAGTGAAACATTTAATAATATTTTATATTATACAATTTCATAATAATTGAATATAACATTAAAATAGAAGGTTACGAAAAAAGAGAACAAACGATAAAAGAAAACAAAAGAAGAAACGAGAATAAGCAAAAAAAAAAAAAGAGAACGTGCATGAACAAGCAACGATCAGCAATGCAAGAGGAAGAGTGGAGTACTGCATGCGGCGGATAAGGAAACATTTCAGCAGGTTAATAGTCTGTTCACAGACAAAACATTTTCATAGATACAATTTTTCTATGAGCAGGTAATTCACATACAAATCTTTTCAAATTATAATCTCGGTTTCTTCTAGAAGAAATGTGACTAGGCACAATGGTTTAGCACTTGTTTTCTCCTCTTAGACCATGGTTGGAATCCCAATTGTAGCATTTTTACTTATGTTCTCTTTTCTCAAATTTTCTCTTCATTTTCTTTGAGGGAAACTCTTCTTTTATTAACCTCCAACTTGAACTTTGTTTTATATTTTCTTCACGCTCATATGTATCCAAATAGCATCAAATATATCTTAAAATATAAAATACATGCTTTAAACTGCATGAATAAAAAATGACAAATAATAAAAACTATCAACAAACTAAACCTAAAAAGTGTGTAAAATATAAGCATATCAAATCTCATATACGAAGTATGTTTTAGTCCTATATTGAATAATTTCTTTCTAAATTAAAAAATCAAAGGGGCTTCACCTATCCGAAACCAGTGTTCGAGAAAAAAGTTGTGATGTAGCCAGGCTATCTAAAACCGGTCTAGCTATGGCACCAAGCGCTACATGGCTTCAGAGAACTGGACAGAGGCCATGCTGAAGTTGATTATGTAAAGGGGGGTTAGCATCCCCGCAGCAACTTCACAAAGGCTTGGCAAAAGCTACTTATAGAGTGAATGTGAAGGGGATCTTGTTTTCTACTTGGATGATTTTGCCCCTGTTTGTTTAATGACAGTTGAGGTGCAAAAACGCTACATCGTGCAGCATTTCCAATTGTAAAACATCAGCGTTTTGGAGTGAAACGCCAGCACCCAAACACCCTCTTAACCCCTTTCTCTCCCTATCAAAGATGGGCAGAGGCAACATACTTCTTGTGAAAATGAGGCGCATGAGACTAGAGCTTCACATGAACCACCACAGATGGACCATTTCCAGAAGACAAAGAAAAGTTCTGCACAGATTCTGTTGTTTATTTGCATGTCAGTGAAGGGATCTCTAGCCGCTCCCTCCCTGATTCAGGAGTACTTGCGCAATGCATGGAGTTGACTTTAAGAAGGCATTGTTATGTTCCCAACGTACCATCATCCATTTACGATGTGGGTACCAGTTCCTTGAACCCTGCAGATAATCAGATTGATCTTTCTTGGCAGTTGGCATTAACTCTTCAAAAACCTCATCTCCGAGAAAGGTAGAGAGATGGTGAAAACAGGCAGATCATATATGCGCAAGGGCTGATAAAGAGAAATGAATAACAAGTTTGGAAACAGCACCGTGTTTCCCTCACTTCCGGTTGCAATTAATTGGCTCAGGGACAATGACCGTTAAAATAAGTTGGTCCACTTTCAGGTCCGGGTAACTGGCTCCTTGGACTTAGTGAGTGATGTTATGAAATTAGTAAAGAAATAAGGTTCTATACAAGCTTTGGATTTCTTCATTTTACATTGCAACATGGTAATAATACATGCTATTGATAAAAACAAAGCGAGCGATACATATTGAAAGCACAGGGCATCAAGCATCATTCAAAAACACACATTCATAAATACTCATAGCAAGATTTTCTTAGAAATGAAAGAATTGTCAACCATACAGTTCTTCCCTTAAAAGAAAATATAAAAATTTAGGGGGCGGCCAAATAAGAAAGTTTGAAGATCATAAAGAAAGCAGTGAGAATAAATAATACTCTGTAATAAAATCTCCACTGTAAATTTTCTTTAAACAAACTTCCAGACAAATGAAGTAATTACATGTTTCTTCCACTTCTATTCTAACTATGTTTCAATTGCACGACTGGTATTGAGCCAGACACTTTTAGTGCTCCAACTAATGTTACAATGTCGATCCTTCAATTATTATAGCAAAACTGAAGGACGATTGAAAAAAATGTCAAAATCACAACAGTGACATAAGTCAGAGGACTAAAAGTGAAAAACTTTACAATGGTAGAACTACAAGGGAAAAAACACAATCAACTACAAAGCAAGTTAGAGGCAACATTCTCATAATACATGGAAACACTTTGAAAACCTCATGACAGCCAACCTGTTGAGCTAGAGATTGTACTTTTAGGACATGCACTTAGCATAGTGCAGCAAATTCCAATAACTCAGGAAAACCAGCAATCCCAGCAATCCTGGTACTCCATGAAGACAATACGCGCTTTTGGAGAAGCACGAGGGAAACTCATCAACTCCCTTGTGATCATGAGAGACATGGAGGCATTGACATTACATGAACCCATAATCACAAGTTCCTCTAGGACTGGGGATTTTAAAAGGATTGTTCTAACATAGTGCATTTCCTGTTTGAAACCGTGAAATGGTTGGATCATCACTGTTTTAAGCATGACCAGATCCTTATCAATTATAAAGCCACCATTTATAGAATCTTCCAAAACGCTTGGAATTACATCTTCTGAACTTGTCTATACCATCACGAGAAAAAAAGAAGTTAAAAAGTGTATAACCTATGGGAAATTATAATAAAAAGATCTCACTTACCAAATGCACGTAGGGAGATGCACCATCTATTCTCAGATCCATTAGCTTTGGGCATTTTTGAAGAAATTGGATAGCCAGGTTAGTGTCCTTCTTGCAAGCAAAGTTGATTCCCCGCACTTTAATTATTTCTAAACTTGGAGCAACTGGGAAAACCGGCGAGGTTATGGCATCAGATTTAAGCTTTAGAAAAATGTAAACAACAAAAGTTAGCCTCAAAAGAATTGAACAGATAAAGGAAACCACAAAACATCTTTGCTTCTACGAGAAACTACTGTATTGTTATATGATAGGTACTAGTCTGATTATTGAGTATGGCAACTTTTAATCCCTGAACGTGGGAATGACACTTTTAATACAAACTTTCATAAGCCTCCACTTAGTCTTTTGACTATTACAACATAACAACTATGCTGCCTTCTTTATTTTCTAAAATTTAATGATGCTGACATTTTGCTACTCATCTTTCACTAGGGCCAAAAGTGTTACGACCACAAATGTAGGAGAACTAAAGTGAAAAAGTGAAAGAAAAAAAATGGTACCAAAAGTGTCATCCACACAATATACCAACCGTGACAAAGACTCATCTTTTGTTGTTTCTGTCAATTCAATGAAAATGTAGTGACAATAAATTATCAGACTCACCCAAAGAGGATCCGTAGACAATAAAAGAGTCTGAATTTGTGTCTGATGAAGAGCAAAACATCCCCATTCATCAGTCACATAGGGAGAAACAATTGCACCCAAGCCTGTAAGCTTTGGAGCATTAAACACAAAATTACTGATCCCATCACAAGGAAATAAAACCAGCTCCTTAAGATTAGGAAAACTGGTGGCAATTCCACTAACATTCGGCTTAAACTCTACATCTTCCAAAACTAATAACTGGACACTGGGTAACACAATGCGGGGTTCAACGGGGCAATCAAGAACGAACCCGCGGAGAAGGAGAAGATTTATTGTCGGGCAAGAGAGTATACAATTGGGCAAAGTATATCTCCGACGGGGATATGAAATGGAGAGCTCAAGCTCCACAATTCCCTTCCTTGACAAGAAAAGACACCACCGGTACAGATCAGACTGCTCCGGGGTAGGATCATCCCTATGGTTAATGTGAAGCTCAAATTTGTGAACTTGGCCGGCTCGGAGCATGAGAACATTATTTATTGTCTTGATGCAATCAAGGCGATGATGGGTTAATCTGAACAATCGGAAGAAGTCTGAATCAAACACAAGGTGCCCGTGATTATACCAAACATTCATCCAATTGGTTGAGAGAAGAGCGGTTCTGGCGGCGTCTCGAGTGGGCAAGAACGTCAAAATTAGGTCCTTTACGTCTGCTGGCAGTTGACTTATTAGATCTGCTGCCGGTTTACTTCGGCGAGAATGACGAGTCATTAGAAGTCGGAAGTTAATCGGCGATGTGCCCTTGTACACTCTCTATACGGGCGAACTGGCGGCACATATAGGGATTGGGATCCTCTACCCGACTAGGAGGGTGCCTTGCGCATCGGACGGGAGGGGAGCGGCCAACACGACCTCGAGATCGGCGAAAAAGTGGAGCCCAAGATCTCCGACCGTTGAATTGTCGATCGGACGACCGGGAGGAAGCAAGGCACTCTACCTTACTCTAAAGTAAGGTAGAGGCTCCGGATCCGCACATATAGCATAGATTTGTACTTTCTTTAATGTTCAGAGCACTCCGTGTCGGGCACACCGGTTATTTTGGAGTATTATCTTCGTCAAAAAAGTATTTGTACTCATTAAACATTTTTTTATATCCATCAGAGAAATTTGTTGATTTAGTCCCGTAACTTATAGCTATACCCGATATTGGTCCTGTAACTTTATTAACTTGCAGATTACATCTCGTAACTAATAAGTTGGTGCAATTTTGGTCCTTCTCTGCCGGAACTTACCAATTTCGCCGGAAAAAGACACATCACATGCCACATGGTATATTATTTGGAACTCATTTGCTGACTCAATGTTGGCCCTTAGCTGGAGTTAAAAACATTATTTCTTCTTGGTTGCTGGCTTGCAGCAGGAGCATTTTGAATGAAGTTTAAAGCTTTCTGGATTCATGTTTTAAGAATAAAACATTTGACAGAGTCTTCAACTCTTCTTAAAACTTCAGACCACATATATTACTCATAAACATAAACGTGAAAGTAAATAACATTGTCAATTCAAAATAAAAGATGTAAATTTTTAACAATTTAGGGAAAGCTTACAACTAACAATAACAATGTCTTACTGCACCTTCATAATGTGGTACTAATTAATAACCAAAACTACCTAACACTCTTGAAATGTTACATCATCTTCACTTCTCACATCTTTAACATGAGAAAGACCAGGAGCAAAAACACTAGCCCCACAACAACTATGAGGAGTCTATTAGTTTTAGCCTTCAACTTTACAACCTCTTCCTCTTTTGAATTGAGTCTTCTAACCAATCCCGGAATTATCATCGTTCAAAGATGGCACATAGGTGGGTCCGCCCATTCAAAAAATCTGCAACCTTATGTCTGTATCAAAACAAGATGAAGCTTAACTTACTTTTTACTGCTTTGAACACAAAAATACATTATCAAATGCCCCCAACAAATAGAAGATGGTAATTTTATTAGAAGAACCTAGCTTAAAATTTATATACTTTTTAATTTTCAAACAAATTTATTATTCAAATGCTATTCTTAAATTTCTAGTTTATTTAGTAAAAAAAGAAGCAAACAAAGTAAATTAAAAAGCTCAACTTCTTACTCTGCTTCTATCGCACACACGAAACCTCCTTTCAGGATTGTTATCAGTCCAAGAAGTTAGAAGAGAAACCTTTTTACCACAATCACTCTCCATAAACTCATGTCTGATCGAGAGCCGTTATGAACTAGCAAGTTTGAAGAATAACTCACTCTCTCGACTTAGTTCAGGAGAAATCTCCGGGTAGGGTTATGTGTTCTTTCCCCCTTTTGTAGATCCGATAATAGGCTTGGTATGGTTGTGCATGCACTCAGCGAAGAGCTTTCGTACTCTGGTTTTTTAACTCCAGCTAAGGGCCAATATTGAGTCAGCAAATGAGTTCCAAATAATATACCATGTGGCAGGTGATGTGTCTTTTTCCGGCAAAATTGGTAAGTTCCGGTAGAGAAGGACCAAAATTGCACCAACTTATTAGTTACGGGATGTAAATTGCAAGTTAATAAAGTTACAGGACCAATATCGGGTATAGCTATAAGTTACGGGACTGAATCAACAAATTTCCCTATCCATCATGTTTGTGTAATACTTCTTAAAGTGCAACATGCTAAATTTTATATTATTCATATGTTCTACTTTGACTACATTTTATTTATTGATATATTAATATAATTTTTTGAAAAAAAATATTATTAAATTTGTCTCGTTGTAAATTTTCAAAATCTGATTTTTCTAATTTTTTTAGTAATAGAGAATTATATATTAACGGTCAAAGTTGTATCTAAAAAAATGTGAAATGTTGATTGTTGCACTTATTTAAGAACGGAGGAAGTATTTTTTTCTGTTACTATGCTAATTTGCGCTAATTTGCAGTCAAAATAAGGTATAACAAGAATGGTTATATCTTCATCTTACCTTAAAGTTTTTCATTCTGACATACTCCCAATAAAAAAAGACATACTCCGTAATTTTTAACAATTAAATAAAATACTCCATAAATGATTAGAGAAAGAATTGTTAAATGTCCCACACCGGAAACGTTTGGATGAACAAAGTGCTATATTAACACATGAGTTACTCCTCCTATCAGGTTGACCTTTTAGGATGGAATCCCGTGTCTTAACATGGTATCAGAGCCAAATCGGTTCATGGTGTGGGCCCCTTAATTATGAAAAATGATGACACGGTTATAAAAACGGCCGGATAAAAAAACGGACCCATGAAAAAATGAATGATGGCACGATCCAGACGAAGTGTCTAGTCGTGAGGAGGGGTGTTAAATGTCCCACACTGGAAACGTTTAGATGAACAAAGTGCTATATTAACACATGAGTTACTCCTCCTATCAGGTTGACCTTTTAGGATGGAATCTCGTGTCTTAACAAGAATGGAACCTATATTAGTACTAATGTTTTCAATTCCAAAAATATGACTCCTACACACTTGAATTGAATAGGCACAATCAGTTAATCCAACCACTTCAGTCAGAAATTCATAAACTTCAGCAGAATCGACCGATTTTGGTATTACCAAACGGACGCTTAATTGGAATTTCGACCATTATAACCCTAGGTATATCTTTCCACCTTTTAGAATATTTAGGATGTTTTTCATTGGATTAGTTTCAGTCTTAGACCAGGTCAAACCATAACATACCATATCAAACTAGACTGCATTTCAACAATTGTAAAATACACATAGAACAAATATCTACCAAAGTAGACCCATTCATATCAAATCAGAACAAATTAGATTTAAACAGATCAAACCAGTTCAGAACATTTGAGACTAATTAAAAGCACCCTTACACGAGATTTATATGTGAAAAGAGAATATCACTCTAACATAGATTAACACAATTTTACTCAAACACAATTTCACTAGACTCTACTATAAAATTTCACTCAAACACAAACAATGAAATTAATACAATTTTACCATACTCATACACAATTAATAATCTATTGTAATTATTAATCTTCTTATTCACTATTAATTTATTTATCTTCTTATTTCTTACTAATTTAATAATTACTTTCAATTACAAGGTCATTTAGAATTGATAAATACTTTTTATTATTTAACGTACACCAAGTTAATAATTATTTAAATACTTTTTCAGATTATATTTTCTAATTAAAATAGAATTTTAAACTAATTATCTAAACATTTTCAAGTGTATATTTTCTAATGATAAGAGTATTTTTTTTATAATTCTCTATTGCATCTAAATGAAATTAAACTTTTCAACTATCTTCACCTAAACAAAAAGAAAAAGAAAATGCTCAATGTCTATTTTTATCCATTAAATTTCATCTGACTTATTGTTTTTATCAAAACTAACTACACACTTTTGTAATTTATTTACCTGAAAATGGGTGTAGTCAATAAAATGTTCAATGCCTATTTGTATCCATTAAAGTTCACCCGTGGATGATTGCTTTTTCAAAACCAACTAAACACTTTTATAATCTATTCATCTAAAAATGGGGTAGTTAAATTTTTTTTGTAGATATAAGTCCTTATTTTTCTTAACCGATAATTCAAATATATTTTGAGAAATAGTTTTGATGAGTATATAATATAATAGAGCCATTGAAGATAAATGTGGTGTTAAAGATATTTTTTTACTATTTGATGATTAAATTATCATTAAAAAGTGCTATAATTTTCTCAAATTGAAGATGTGGGCGATTTGATAGAGGTTCGTGTAATATACTTCGTACTATTTTAAGCAAGTAATTTTTTGTTCTTATTATTCAATTAATTTATGGTTCTTATGATTTCTTGCTCCTCTTCATAAATCTCAATTAACAAGTTTTTACGTTATTGATCCCATGCCGGTCAACTTGGAAACATTTTAATGGATATAGGGAGTAATTTTAAAGACTTCAAACATATTACATTCGTTAACTTTGGTTGTTGTTTTTGCGCAAATAACATTCAAGTACGGTTTACAATATCCCCTGTTTTTTCTTTAACCATCTCGGCAATAGGAGTTCTAGAGGGCATTGACTTGGTGAAATTTCTGACTTTTCCCTTGTGGGAAGTGTAATTGTACATTGCATAAGTAGTAAAAGTGCTTCAAAATTCAATGTACTAAATAACGCTTTCGAGGAGTCCATAGTAATGCTAGATTTTTAGTGAGCACTCCCTCAGTCTAAAAACTAGCATTTATTTGTTGGTTGATTTTCACAATTAAATAGTGTCATTTAGATTGTGCTTAAGTTTTATATTTATTACTTTCCTTAAGTTTTATTTGAAAGACGCTCATATCCACATCTTCATTTTTACTTCATCATTTCTTTGGTTAAAGCAACAAATATGACACCAATAAAGTTGATTGTCTCATATCACTATTGATGCCCAAAAATGTTAGATAGTATTTTTTACACAAGTACCGGGTGCTATGACTATTGAATTAGATATCAACATCTTTTTCGGTAATTGGTGCTCTTTATATGTCATGGAGTAGAAGCGGCACCGTTAAATACTTTTCGTACATTCTACGGAATATTATAAAACTAAAAAGTAAAATATCTTTTACCCGAGTAAAAATTAAGATGGCATGTGTTGAAATTTGCTACATGATACACATTTGTCTTAATGATATCTGAAATCTGTGTTCACCTTTCAATTCAAGGATATTTTCAATTGGAATCAATTTTTTTATTTGATCTACAAAAGTAAAAGTGTTTTTTTCTTTAGTGTATAGATTAAATATTAACATAAATCTTGATATATTTTTTCCGGCAGTTTCAGATCTCTGAAATCTTTATTAATTGCATATATATAGAAAATCATATCATGATAATAAAAGTAGTATTTGAGAGCTAGATAATTTTCTCTTAAAGAGCTAATATCTTTAGTAATTTGCTCACTAAATTCTAGAAGGGCTAATATATTCAAAAAATGATCACACTCATTATTAAATAAATAAATTACAAAATTGTGTATTTATTAAATTAGTTCAAAAAACAGTAAACTACAGATGAAATCTAATGGATAAAAATATGCATTGAGCAATTTCTTTTTTAGATAAATACACAATTTATCTAAAGTTCATCTAAGCAAGTTCTTTTTTTTATAAAACTACGAAGTTCGTTTGGATGCAACTGAGTGTTATAAAAAATTA